TATATATTAAGCTTGTAGTGTAATTTAATGAGATAACTTGATTTGGTGTGGCAATATTATACAGTAGATATAATAAACAAGGTGTTATTACGTGGCCAAACTTCAGGAGGTAATTTATTGAGAAATTTTAAGATGAAAAGTTCATATAAACATAGGTCCAGAAATGCTTAATTTTCATTTTAAAACTTTTTTAAAAATATGTTTTTCCTAAATATCTTAATAAACTGTCAGTCGATTTTGTCCAAATTTAGCAGTGGTACTAAGGGTAGTGAGTGGCTAGTTTAGCCCTAAGTAGATTACAATTATTAAATCCAGAGGGGTCCCGAAAACCACACGAATATCTGGGACAAAAAATTTGTGCGCCACTGACTTTTTCAATTTTTCTATTTTTTCGAATTGAGCACCTAAAAATACAACTTCTTTGTCGCTTCGTTTGCGAGATAAAAAATAAAAAGCACTTTTTGTTGCATGTTTTTGATAATTAAGTTACACGAAAGTCCGTCTTTTGAATTTTTTTGCTCAGATTATATCTGCTTTCAATAAAACAAATAAACATAAAATATTTACATAACGTTATTTATTGTTGCAATGTTTTGCCAGTGGCGTTGCACATTGGTAACGCCGGAAACTAACCGGGAAAACGTCTTTTTAAAACTACACTCAGGGCCAATTTCACCATCATATTAATATTTGACGGTCCTTGGACCAATGGAAAAATACCTTCGAAATGCAATTTGACGGAAACTGTCAAAAGCGTCTGAATATCAGTGATTTCTATTAAAATATTGGATAATATCAGGAAAATTCACAAGACGACTGTTTGATTCCAACATGATGCTTTTTTACAGAGAAAACAGCACAACTTTCATGTACTCATATTTTGATTTCCGTTATAAACTTACATTTAACAATCAGTTATCCCCAAAGCCAATGGGAATGCGGCAAATAATAGGTCGATTTTCTAACTGTTAAATTTAACAGCAGGTTTGGACGTTTGCTAAAAAATGGCAATCTTGTTAAGTTCAATATACTGAGTCTTTATATGTTATCATTATAGCTACATACCTGTTGAATTGTGTGGATTTGTCTGTATTTTGCAAGAAAATAGAATATAAAATACATTCCAACCAATTCCTCATCTTCCTTTACATCATAATAGTAATCATTTATTAATTTATGGGTTGATAAATTTCTTCAAAGCAATAAAAACATTATGTCCTCTCCATCCTAAAACACAGATAATATGTGTAAGACGTGTCAATCCCTACATCTCCGTGGTACATAATGTAATTACTATGGACATAGACAGAAAATTATGAAAAATTTCTCACAAATAATGTCTTTTAAGTCCAAAAATCATAAAAACTAATATTGTTTATTGTTTGATTGCCTTTTTGACTGGCGGGGTTATCTATCTGTCACTCGCAGGGTTACCAAGTCTAACGACGATCACGTCCCGTGGTGGAGGGTGGGAAATGAATCTTTTACGTTTGCTGGTTTTGAATTTAAAGTAGGAACACAAACATAGTCTGGGCTTGATTAGCGACAGGCAGTATGGGTTCCGACACCAGCGATCCACAGGGGACCTCCTAGCTTACGTCAATTGTGGAGTACGCTAATCCAGAATTACGGTGAGGGTTATGTCGTTGGTCTTGATATGATGAAAGCGTTCAATAAGCTGTGGCACGCTGCCCGCTTATGCAAACTTCCATCGCATGACCTCCCAGAAAAGCTTTGCATATTTCTCTCTGGCCGCAAGGTATCCGTCGTGATTGACGGGATCTCCTCTCCATCCCGCAAGGTCAACGCGGGTGATCCCAAGGGTTTGGCCTTGGCTCCGACACGGTTCTTCTTGCATATCAACGACCTCCTTTCCTGCACGATCAACCCAATCCACAGCTTTGCTGATGAGAGCGCCCTACATGCAGGAATTCAGAGTGGCAAGCCGATCTCTGCAGCTGAGCTGGAAAAAAGAAGATTAGCGGCGACTTCCTCTGTGTCGCGAGATCTGGAAGTCACTGCTTGGGGAGGCAACAATCTTGAACAGTGAAATGCTTCCAAAACACAGTACTGTACCGTGACGAACAAAAAGCGTCCTAGCGTTCATACGGTTCCGATGGATGGCCGGGTTCTGCCAAAGAGCCGTTCATTTCGGCTGGTCGTAGTCCAGATCACCGAGGACTTGATCTGGCACGAACACATCTTGTCAGTAGCGGTAGCTGCTGGGAAAAAGTTAGGCCATTTGTTTAGGTCTGAGAAGTACTTCCGCATGACCTTCTAATATCTATGCCCCATGTTGTCCAGAGAAGGGCTGTCCAACTGATCGATGACCCTTCTCTAACAAACAGTCTCGGGACTCTTTCACACCGGCGATCAAGTTCTCTTCTAGCGCTACACCAACGGGCTTTGCTCCTCACAGTTCTCTTCCATGATGCCGCCGCGGATGTGCCTGCCATACAGACACGGCTGCTTCGGTACAAAAAAAATGACTACAGTAAAAGCTTCCTACTTCCATTGTATGTCGGCTGGGCAGCATAATCACTAGTTGCGTTCGGCACTTGAAAAGACTTTAAGTGTAAAAAAGGCGAACTTTAATGGAATTACAAATATAGCCCAAAGTGTTGCTGGACATCGCCAGCGGACAAGTGGAGCAAAAAAGTCGGTAAAGCATAAAAAAATCGCTATGTCTGGCAACAGTGTTGTTTTGTCCAGATGACACATCACTCAGTCGCGACTAGGATAGTGATGGGAAAGTGTTGTATGGAATTGTTTTATTGATATAGATGAATTTCTAGAACATCCAAAGGTCTGAAAAATCTTTGAAAGATTTGAAAATCTCCAGATAATATACGTATATAAACATAGCCAACAGTCAAGCAAGTCAAAAATCTTTTGGAAGCAAGTATCGAGAACCACAGGCTCCAGGGGCGCGAGAGAAAGTGGAAAATATCTGAGATGTGAGGCAACTTGAAGTGAGATGATATTATAGCTGAGAAAGTGGCCAAAATAGAAGCTACTGAAATCAGCTTTGTGTGGTCTAAACTGTTAAATATTACCAAGCTATTCATTCGCGTTTCCTTTCAGTGAAGCCAGTGTTGGACTGATGCATATTCTAAATTCTTATAACAGAACCAATTTATATATTTATGTTTTTTTGATGCGCATTTTGAACTAGTTTTTCACTCATTGTAGAAACATACAGAACCTGAAGCAACTCGGGCTGGTGTTGTCTACTGCCTTCTGCTTCGATTTCTATCTTTGAATGCAGCCGTGCTGTTTGCTCATGGTTTACTAATAGTGTTTTTTTCGATGATTCATCATAGTAACACGGAAAAGGACACAGAAACGAAAAATATGCTTAATTGACAGATTACTGCACGCGACATGACATGAGAGTTGTTTAATGTTGTTTTGGGAGCAAATTTAGGATCAACGGTATTAACTGAGGTAGTATTTTAAACACAAACACTACGCTAGTTTTATCAGAAGAAAACACTATATCTCGGAGCCCCAGAGGTAAAGCGAATCTCAGGCTTTCGATTGTCACATCACTAGTGTGATGAAATGACAATTTGTCCCTTCTTGCATTACTTGAAATAGTGATGTTCATTGAGTTGCGTTCAGTACTAGGAACTACTTCGTGAACAAACTAATTTATGCAAAAATACCACAAAAATATATATACAGAAACAGAGCAGATATTCCAGTCTTTCAGTCGAGATAAAAACGATTCAATTCATATTTTTTACCGTTCCAATACATTCCACTGATCGCAAATGTATTCTCCCATCACTAACATTATGAGACACTAATTTCAAATGTCAATTCCGATCTTCTTTGGTCTTTTCTCCTTCTTAAACGTCACTGTATTCTATGTTTTGTGGTCACTTGTTTTGTTATTTGTGAAATTTTTCAACAACAAATTTCCGTATAAAATATGCTCTCTCCAAGATTTTTTTTGTGCAGAATTACATATTACACTGTCATGTACACGTGCACTAACCCCCAAATACGTGGTTACGTTGAGTGTACCATGTACCATCACCGATGGTGCGACTGATATACATTGGAACCAAAACAAGTGAAAAGGCTTTTTCATGTAAGGGTTTGGAAGTGCAAGTTTGCGAAAGTAGGATAAACTATAAACACATGGTAGGTGATATAATCACATATGGAATACAAAAGTTGCAATAAACATGGAGAAACCTTCAGCTAAACTGAAAAAAATGGATTTTACTCAGACATCAAGCATTTTTTTAAAAATTTTTGCTCAGTTTTACATAATTTCATAATATTTAATAAACTGAAAACATTTCAATGACAAGCTGTCACTTCATATTTTACAATGTTTTGTTTTGAATACGTTGATGCTATTTGCAGAGAGATCTTGAGGCTGTTTGGGTATATTTAACGGACAGTTTGGTACTCGTACCCTATTGGTGCAGAATAATGGTTAAATTGTGAAATCCGCGCTTAAACTTTTATTTCAATGAAATCATTTAACAGAAATGACACGAGGCTTACAATAGTTACTGAACATGCCCTCCTTCAACCTCAATGGAAGCATTAGCATCAATTGCCGAACTCCTTGAAATATTCCGGGCGTATGTATTATCTGATCACATGAATCTCGTATCCGTTGGGTTAATTCTTTTTCAGTGTTGACTGGAGCATTGTAAAATGCTCCCACAGGAAAAAAGTCTAACGGATTTAAATCCGATGACTTGGGTGGCCATGAGTGTAGGCCTGCGCGCGCGATCCAGTTTTCGACAAAAGTTGCATCCAAAAATTGGCGAGCTACTATGCTGAAGTGAGGTGGAGCCCCATCGTGCATAAATCATATTGCTCCTCTTACTTCCAGCGGGACATCTATTAGTTCCAGTAAAATAAATTACAAAAAATTACAAGACTCTTGCCCATTCAATCTCGGGGGTAAACATGAGGTCCATCCAGATAATCAAAGCTTTATAGATGTGATACCAGCATATTTATTTACTTACCATCACAATATCTGGGACATCCTTCACACTTGCTATTGGACGGACGTCTATAATATAGCTTAGCAGCGCCGATTTTGCTCCAATCTATGGTATCCACGTAGCACAGATTCGGACACCTGTCAACTTTGACCGATCCCCTGGCGATGTATAGTAGCTTTTCCGTCCCAATCTGAAATGAAAATATTTATTTTAGTCTGGCTGTTTCCAGATACTATGAATTACTATTCCTTTATCATGAAGAATTTCATGACGGCTTAATTCAAGAACTAAACTGCAGATTCCGTTCTAACTTCGTGGAAGCACGGGTCAATAATGTATAAGAGCATATAAAATTACAAAACTTTCTAAAATTATGGATAAACGCAAGTGACACCTTAATGCACAATATAATATTCAGTATGTACCTAAAAACATGCCGCATAAGAGTTTCTCCGAGACCACGTGTTCCTGTGAATACACACATCAGTAGTCTCATGTCTTATGAGATATACAGGGTATTCCTTAATGATACGCAAATATTTAAGGGTGTGAATCTACATGAAAAATTAATGTTAGTTTGCTTTATAAACTATGGCCCAAAAATTTTTCCTTACAAAAACTTGGGGTGTTGAAGTTTTAGGAAAAAAGATGGAAATTAATTAATATTTTCAGAACCGCTTCAGATATTTCACTGATATTTAGTACGCAGTGAAAGTTAATAAAGTTGCATATTTTTCGATGCCAAAATAATTTTTAGCTTTAACAGTGGCGTGCGTACGGGTATTGACTTTTTTGAGAAAAAAAATGATAACCCACCGTTTTTTTTCCAAATAAAAATTATTCTTAAATTCCCCGTTCAATTTAAAACAAATGATCTCTCTTGAACTGTTTTCCTTCGATGCGCCATTTTTGAATCAAAAAATAAAAACTGTTCTATGGCCCGAGAAAATTAATGTAATAATAGAAGAATGCAATTTAACAATAAATATCTCGTTGCTCTGGAATATGTCACTGGCTTCTGACATCCGACAAGTCTCTGTAATTCAAATCTGTTCGCTGTGACATCCTTTTCATTACTTAGTTTTTACAATCTTGTTAATAATGGTGAATTATTCAAATGCACAAATGGCGGAAATGCTATACGTATATGGCCTTGCCGACGGTAATGGTGAACAAGCCGGACGGATTTATCACCAGAGATATCCCGATCGTGCTTTGCCAGATAGACGAACTTTTTCTAATATTCATCGTCGTCTTGTTGAAACTGGTTCTTACCAAGAAGGAACACCTGAAGGTAGACCTCTAAGTGTGAGAACATCTCAAATTGAGGAAGCGGTGCTGCACGAAGTCGAAGAACATCCTGAAACGAGTACGAGGAAGATCGCTACACACTTAAATATTTGTCATCAAATTGTTTGGAGAATCATAGTGGATTTTTTGTTATATCCTTTCCATATTTTATGAGTACAGGCATTACGTCCCATTGATTTTCCAACGCGTGAGTTTTTGTCAATGGTATCTTCAAAAAATTACACAAAATCCGCAATTTGAATCAGTGATTCTGTTCACGGCAAAGCTAATTTTTCTTGAAATGCCACTCAGAATTTCCACAACAATCATTTGTGGGCAGAAGAAAATCCCTATGCCGTAACCGAAACCCATTTCCAACACCAATTTTCGGTTAACTAACAACAGTTGCCTTTGCTGCTTGATGATGTTCCATTAGTAATAAGAAACAATATGTGGTACATGCATGATGGTGCACCAGCGCATTTCAGTATAGCGGTTCGTAATTATTTACAGTTTACCCAAATCGTTGGATTGGCTGCGGTGGGCCCCAAGAATGGCTATCAAGGTCCCCAGACCTCATCAGTTTAGATTTCTTACTGTGGGGCTATCTTAAGACACTAGTGTACACAAATCCCGTTAACACTGTAGAGAAATTAAGAGAAAGGACAGTTGCAGCTTGTGAGAGAATAAAAAACACTCCAGGGATATTTCAACGAGTGCGCAATTCCAAATTTTACCGTTTTGTCGGATTCCTGCACTACTGGTGAAACAGCCAAACAATCAATGTTTTTCACCCATGTCACTACTGATGATGTTATATTTGTGATAAGTAATATGCCAGACAAGAAATTTACAGGGCCTGATGAAATTCCAATCTATTTAGTAAAAGAGAACATGGATATCTTTGCCCCAGTATTAGCAGACATCATTAATGAATCGGTCGCTGCTGGTAAATTTCCAACATCTCTTCAACTGGCATCGTTAATTATGATATTTAAAAAAGGTGAAAATTGTGATGTTGAAAACTATAGGCCAATCGTGCTATTAAGTATTTTCTCGAAAATCATTGAAAAAGTGGTTGCAATGAAAATTGAAAATTACTTTCTTAAATTTGGTATTATCACATATGCTCAACATGGTTTCAGGGTAGGCTACTTAACTGAAACAAGCATTATCGAGTATGTTCAGTATGTTTGTGATAAACTTGATTTAGGTAATTACGTAGTGAGTATCCAATTTGACTTGTCTCAGGCCTTTGATTGTGTAAGTTCGTCATTTGTGGCCGATAGGTAAACTTCATCATGTTGGCATTCGCGGATGTTTGAATCAATGGCTAGTTAGCTTTCTAGAGAATAGAAAATTTTATGTTACTGTCGCTGTTAAAAAATCTGATGAATTCAATTTAGATTGGGGCACACCTCAAGGCAGCGTCCTTGGACCACTTATTTTCTCGATTTTCATAAATGATTTGCCTGCACACTTATCCTACGGAAAATTACTTTTGTATGCAGACGACACAAATATCATTTTAGCTGACTCATCGCAAGATCGTCTTCAAGAAAAAATTAATGATTCGGTTAATGAGTTCAGTCAATGGTGCTTCAAAAACAGACTAATAATAAATACAAAAAAGACCGTTTCAGTTGAATATTTTATGAAACCAAAAATTCCGTCAAATTTTAATTTCAGTCTTCAATGCAAGACAGTTGAAACTTCAAAAAAAACTGTTTTTTTAGGTGTAAGCTTTGATCGCAATTTAAGATGGACAGAGCAAATTGATTCCGTATGTAAGAAACTTGGAAAAAGTCTGTATTTAATACTTACGCTAGGGAGGATGTTAAACACCTCAGCATTAATGGATGTCTACTATGCATGTGTACACTCTGTCATTTCATATGGCATTACTGCGTGGGGCCAGGCTAGTGAAATCTCTAGAGTGTTTGTCTTACAAAAAAGAATCATTCGCATTATATTTAAAATACGGTCCAGATCTTCCTGTCGTGAGATATTTGTTAAACACAAAATACTTACAATAGCATGTATATATCTTTATAATCTTTTAACATATATTTTTCAGCACAGAAATGATTATCTTAAGCATACTGACATCCATGACTACAGCACTCGTAATAAAAATAATATAGTTAGGCATGTGTCATATCATACGTTTCATTCAGAATCTCCCATAACAGCAGGAATATGCTTTTTCAATTTATTACCTCCGGAGATCAAAAACGTAAACTCCGTAGGGCTTTTTAAAAGACGTTTGTGACAAGCTATCGGACTGCGGTTTTTATGACCTAGGTGAATTTGTCACATTCCACAGTGCTTCTGATAGATCTTAACAAATAATTTATTGCCATGTGTGTATCATATGGTTTTTTATGTTCTTATTGTTATTTGTATTTTACTTCCTTTTATCTATATTTTAATCTGTATACACCGACTTATCCAATGTCTACAATGTAGATCTAACTGGATCAATAAATGAATCTGAATCTGAATCTGAAGGAGGGCGGAATCATTCATACTAAGTGAAGGGGGCCATTTTCAACAATTTTTGTAAACATTTCGTTGGTTTTAATGTTATGCTTATCTTGTTAGTTATTGTTCATTACCCCTAATGTGTTTAATTTTTCCAATTAAATTAATAATAATTTTGCAAGTTAGACAATAGAACGGTTTTTATTTTTTTACTCAAAAATGGTGCATCGAAGGAAAACAACTCGAGAAAGATCATTTGTTTTAAATTTTTTTTCTTAAACAATATCGAAGTCAATATCCGTACGAACGCCACTGTTAAAGTTGAAAATTATTTTTGTAGTTTATAAAGCAAACTAACATTAATTTTTCATATATAGTCACACCTTAAATATTGGCATATCATTAAGGAACACCCTGTATACAAGAACATACATGCACAAAACATATGGTGTTTGACCACCTGTCAAATTTAATGGCACTCGTATAGTGATAGTTGATGTTGTGCTTATAACATGTTCGAATGGGCGCAAAGCCCAGAAATGTGTTTTCTATTTGAAAAAGATAGCCACTGTGAGTACGCCTGCCTGCGCCATTGAGAGAATTCGGTTAAATGGGGACCGAGTTGCGCATTTAGGTAACTAAGAAAATGACACTTAGAAAGTTTTGCAATTTCCGAAAAAAAAACGTATTTTTTCCAAAATTATTTTTACAATTCCTGACTATATTTGAGGTGAGATTTTGAAATAAATCTCACATCAAAAAATTCACATTGCCACTTCTTCTCCTCTACAAGGTGTCATAATTACAACTTCAATATACGAGTAAGTTTCGTCTCTTGTTCTTAATCATCAACCTATTTTTTTCTTATGGACGCCATAATAGATTTTTCTACTGCTAAAAATGTATAAAATGTCATATATTGACATTGCCAAACCTTAGTTCTTTCAAAAAACCGGAATTTTCTAAGTAGACTTTGAAATCATCAATTAGTAATTTGCTTGATTATATCGTCAACCAAGCATTCCTTCAGTTTTTATGAACTACGCAAGGGTGAACAGCTCCTATTTCCCACTTTAATGATGTAATATTGTAATAAAGATAATAAAAATAAACTTTCACGCAAAATTAACAGGACAAACAAAATTTTGTTCAAATTAAATTTGAAATAACTTTTTAACCTTTGCAACAATTTCGTTAATTTTTTCGTCAAGTCGTAGGTAATTTCATTGCCATCATTATCGACTGCCGACCTTGCAAAAAATGTTTGTTGTTATACAGGGTGTAACTAGAAGGTGTATTTTGCACTAAATTTCTGAACACCCTGTGGAAACATTGGATTACTGAATAATGTGTCTTCGTATGAAAATTTTAAGCCACAACTTTTCTCAGCAGTTCTTTTTTGTTTCATGTCAATAT